GAAATAAATACAGGCAGATATGGACTAGTTTTTATTTAGACCTGGACATTCAGGGGGACAGATTTCTGTCTCTCATACGTCAAAATACAGCTCTGGAGTTTATGGAATCGAAACTGAGGTGATTTTGAGATGCCTGCAACAACTCTGTGACTATTCTGAGAAAATTATTATCACACATTTATATTAATATGTTCACATTTCAAACGACAAGACCGTGAACCTCTATCTCTAGTGAGAAAATCGAGAACCCCGTGAACATTTTGGAAACTCCCTATGCCTTTCACCAACTAGTCTCCACCTGTTGCAGCCCCAGAAGATAACAACCCTCAGGGCTGCATGGAGGAGGCATGTTCACATGAACGGAGCACATCACTGTCATTTAAAAACTCAGAACTCCACACGTCCATTTGAACTGAATTAACTCATAAGATGAGAATTTCTTTGGAATTACTGCAGCACATGGAGACATTTGTTCAGTTTAGCATTGCATTATACCTTCATAAGGTGCTTAAATTAAAGTTATGGCCTGCTCAAATCTGAAATGTATAGCTCAGGGCTATTCAACTGGCAGCCCGTGGGCCATTTCCAGCACACGGATGACTTCGATCCGGCCCACTTCATTAATAAAATAAAAAATATATACGTTTTTGGTTCTGGGTTTGTGTTTTGGGTTATTGCATTTATGATTCAATGCAATAAAATAAACACATTTAAAGGGTAACAGATAATTGTAAACTTTGATTTATTTACATAATGATTTTAATGGATGTCTGGCCCCCGAGCTGTTGGTGCCACACCCCCCCCCCCACCCCCCCCAGCAGTTTTGTTGAATAGATCTGGTATAGCTTGATGCTTCATGAGATCACAAACAGAAAAGCTTGAAACTATACCGTTAAGACAAGATTTTTTTTAAATAATTTATCAAGATGTTGTTACATATTAGGCCATATTAATATACCAGATTATTTTACATTATTAGTGTTTACCATATATCTTAGATCCTTGTATACTGTTTCTCTTTATACTTTATATTTTTGCTATTTTTGGGTATAACTGGGACCTTGTGTACACAATTTCCACCTCATGTACCACATGTGATGTGAATGACAACGAACCTTGAACGTTCATATGTTCAAAATATTTGTTGTATATGTCTACAGCTGCATGCCAACTCCTAAAAAAGGTGGTTGAAGCTATTTTCTACTGCCCTTTAAAAGTAATTAATAATTCTCTGTCACCTATTGTGTCTTTTTGTCATTTTCACAATAACAACCAGGGTGGGGTGTTCACCTTAAATGTCACGTTGTGAACTTTCAAGGACCTTTTGTGGTACAAAACACATGAGGCAAAAAGAAAGCTGAATTTAAACCTTGGTGCTGCAAATGATTGAGGTCCACTCTTTAGAATGACTTGAAATGTCTTTCTTTCCACTTGTTGATCAGAAACGCTGCAGTAAACTATTTCAGGTGTGCATATTAACATCACACATGTCATTTGGAAGAAAACAACCTGAGCTGCACTAACAAAGTAAAACATATCTTTAATGCAAGTTCTCTTCAGAAGGAAGGCTCTTATTTACTCGTCACTCTATGAACCCCCTCGAATGTCAAAATCCATCAAGCTGCTGCAAACCCCTTCAACAGGTCTGTGACACACCAAGTTCCTCCCTCGCCCGCTTTCCCAACAGTCAAGCTCCACCAGGCAACAGAAAACACAGAGCCATCAATAAAGAAGTAGGAAAGCAGGTGGTACAGAGCACATTCATCTACTTCACTGGGGGACTATTTCTGGATTTGGAGTACTTAGTATTCCCACTTTCAAACTGCCCACTTGTGTTTGATACAATGTCTGTGGGTCGTGTTGGAAAATAATCGTTGCAGAGAAGGAAAAAAAGCACAATTGTATTGAAAAAGTATTTAAATTACTGAGTACAGGCCTGGCATTCCATGAAGGAATAAATATTTCCCACTGCTTTTTCTAACTAAGATTGTTTTATGGTGTGAAGGGACAGAGTTGAAGCGGCCTTGGCTGATTTTTTAAAATGATGCGTTTGATTCCACACAATACAGTGAGACTCCCAGTTATACCACACCCATGTTAGCTCAGTTTGTAAAAGGGACTGAGTTATAGACAATTATTTATTTACAAAGGTTCCTTAGCAGTGGCAACCATTTTGAAATGGGTTCACTTCAAATGTTCATTAGTTAGATATAGATTTAATGATTTGATTTCACTGTTTTTATGGATACGTATTGGGATGTTATGAAGACGAGTCAAAAGAAAAGAAGTAAACAGAAACAAGATGTGCACATTTTTTTCTCATATCGTTTGTTTGTTGGTACGGTGGCGCAGTTGGCAGAGCCGCTGACACTCAGCAAGCAGGTTGCTGGCTCAAATCCTGGCCTGTGATCTTTCTGGGTGGAGTTTGCATGTTCTCTCCGTGCATGTGTGAGTTTTTTCCGGGTACACCGGAATGGATGGATGGATGGATGGATGGATGGATGGATGGATGGATGGATGAATGATTGTTAGTGTCCATAAATTTAAAATTGGTAAGCAAAATTTGTAAATGACGTCCACCAACTATAGCAACCTTCATGGATGAGTCATTTGGAACGGACATGTCAGACAATTTGAATGTATCGGTACATATTTATGCTCTGATTTGGTGAGTAAATATGCAGATAAAAAGATCAGTAAACTCACCGGTCTATTTGTAGCTGTGTGAGACTGAATGCTGGGTTCTGTCTTTATCACGCTCCACTGTCCTGCTAAACGTGTCTCACATAAGCTTTATCCTTTGTTTCATATTTAGCTGCAGAATTACTAATTTTTCCACCTAAACGTCTTCTCCTTGATTCTATGCGTGTCCAGTTCCACCACGTTTGTTTACACCAAACTGTAGGTCAATCTCGTGGAGTCAGTCGAGTGTTTTGTTTACATTAAATGTGGACCTGCATTTCAGAATTACATATTAATATGTAGAAAAAGACTGGAGTAAATAGTTTCAAAGTTTACCATTTACAATAGTTCAGGACAATATTTTTTATGTTTGAGCTTAGAGTTAAATAAATAGATTTAATACAGCAAATCTTGATATTCAAGAAGAAAACTTTTATTTTATTTGTTTTTTTAATTTACCATTACTGAAGAAGCAATTTTGCTATAATCATATGTTGAAAGAATAGTTATGCCTTTTGAATAGATACATTTTTCTCCTACAAAAAAAGGATGATATTTTACCTTTAAACATGCTATTTGTCAAAAACGAGAGATTTCTTTGAATACAAAAACCTTGACTTTTGCACATGCAAGTATAATCTAGACCAACAAACTCTGTGTTAAGATACCGTTTTGAAAAGCCTGAATTTTGCAATTTTCAGAACTAAAAACATTTCTCATCAAACTTACTGAACATACAAATGTATAGAGTATGAAGATCTGTATTACCAACATAAATTGTAATGAAATAATATCTATCATAAGGCAATATAAAAACCTGTTTGAGTTTATGTATTTATTTTGTTACAGTTGTTCATAAAAGTGGCTTTCATCCTTCACCTGGTCACAGTTTTTCTCTTCCATAAAAAGTAATAAAATAATATTCTGCGTGTAATTTATCTGTTTTCCAGATAAAAATTACTCAGAAGTATTTATACTGAAGCAAACTTGTCTTCCTTGTGGTGCATAGACAGGATGAGGGCAGTAGCAATGGTTTTCTTATTTCTAAAATGAGATAAGTCCTTTTTATGGCTAAAGATAATATAAAAATCAAAGAGTGTGAGCTTGCACGTTGGTTTGTGTGCAGTTGTGGGTGTACCTGTGTGCATGCACTACATCTGCAGGCCTACAGCAGTTCAAGTCTGTCCTATTATTGTGCCAAGGTCAGATGAGTAGGCAACATGGCAGCAGAAGACAGATAAGAATGGTGGATCGGTTAGATAAGTCTGGTTACTGCTTTTTCACTGACTGAAAGTCACTGGGCCAGAAATATAAGGATCTGTAGTAGCTTACCTAATACACCCCCGCCCCCAACTGGGACTTCAAACTAGACTTCAGATCGGAA